CCTCCCTCCCCGGCGGCAGGATCAGCGCCCGCACCCGCCGAGCCCAGGGGCGACTGCAGCCGCTGCGCACGCCGAGGAGCGCCGCGCGGATCCCCGCCGAGGCGCGCACAGCCCGGGCGGCTGCGGCTCCCCGAGCATCCCGCAGTACAGCCCCTGCAGGCGGAAGGTGTTGCAAGGTTCCAAGTGGGCGGGGCTCCGCGCCGGAGGCCTGTGTACCGAGATTCCAAGTGGGCGGGGCCACGCGCAGGACAACACGGGGCAAGGTTCTAAGTGGGCGGGGCCGGCGCGCCAGGATGGTGTTGCAAGGCTCTAAGGTGGGCGGGGCTGAGCCCAGCGCCCACCCCAGAATTGCGGTGTGCTATGCCAGCTGCCCGTCCGCCTGCCAGGTAGTTGGGTAGCGCAGTCATAGCGGGTGTTTAAAGGCCAGCTTGGCCTTTAAACAAGCACCAAGCCTCATCACCGGAAGCAAACTCCTTATGACCCAAACCACACCGAATGGATCCAGACCATGCCAAGACAAGAAATGCAAAGCCTGCCAACACATCTCCACCACCCCCGCAATAACTACACCCCACAACAGAACCATCACCATTCCTGGATCTTACACCTGCACCTCCAGAAATGTAACCCATCTCATTCAGTAAACAAAATGCCCTGGTGGAAAATATGTAGGAGAAAGCAAACAACAGCTGCGCACCAGAATGAACACACACTGGAAATCTATCAAAGACAAGAATACACAACTACCTGTGGGGCCACACTTCTCACAAGACAATCGCGCCCTCTCTGATCTCTCAGTTCTAATGCTCAAAGGGAATTTACAAAACACCTTTTGTAGCAGTGCCTACAAGCTTCACTTCATAAATCTACTGGATACTAAAAATCATGGACTCAATATAGATATTGGATTTATAACACATTACACCCTGCCTGACATCTGATTCACCAAGTAGCTGCCAGACGTGACCTTTTACATTTTTCTTCCTCCCCCACCTTTCTCACCCCCATCACTTTTCTGCCCTTTGTCTTCCTAATTTCCAGCTATTTCCTTTTTCACAGATATTCTCTTTTTCACCTTGAATTACTACTATATAGTGTCTCCCTTACCCACCTTTGGCTTTCTTTCTCCCTGCTTTCTCACTCTCCCTTCCCTGCTTTACCTTTTGTTTTCCTAATTTCTACCTATTTACATTCTCCCTGACATCCTGTCACACTTTTAGCTTCTCTCATTCCTTGGAGTCTCAAAACAGCAAAGACTTCCTATGGCTGAAGAAGGCTGCTTGTGCCTGCAAGCTTGCTAAGAACTTTTTTCCAGCTACTCAGTCTAATAAAAGGTGTCACATCTACTCAAATAACCTTGCCTGCCTATGTCCTTAGACCAGCATGGCTACAATTTAAAACCCAGCTCTCAGTTTTCATTCCTTTTTTTTAGAAGAAAATTATCTTATTTTTTGAGAGAAAAAATAGAGCAATTCTTCTGGTGCATTTAACACTATGGATTCCTACTTGAAATCTCTGGGTTTAGTTTGTGAATCCTGTAGCTGTTGGCACACCTAACAGTGCAAACATTGCATGGTACCCCACAGCACCCTTGGAAGATCTCAAGGGACCCAGGGGTGCCATGGCATCTTGGTTGAGAATCACTACAACAGAACAAGGATACCACCCTTACACTACACAATGGCCATGACACTAGTCAACACTGCCAAGAGACCCCTTCTATTACTGCCACTGCTGCTGAGCTGAAGTGGTGGTAACAAAGGTAGAAATTTTAGGGAAGAAAATCATTGTGGACAGAAAGTTTGCTGTAATGCTGCAAACAACCACATACATCTTTTTAACTAAAGGATCTCTAATCTGTTGGGGGCATGAATTTTAAAACAGCCAGACCCAGAGGCAGAGTTCATCTCTGGTGGGAAAAGTCTAACTGATTCCAAAAAGAGAAATGTATAGTACAAGAGGCTCTCCCCTTCCCCATTAATTTTAAATGCTAGACTAGCATGTATGCAAAATTTTAGGAGGTGGAATCAGCCAGCAGGATTTATTAATGCTTGTTAATCTGCTAAATAAATCTGAGGCATGAGGACAGTAACATTGTAAAAAGTAATGACTCATGTTGATTACATGAAGATGACTGAAAACAAATTTTTAGCATCATCTTTGCATATACTAGTTAAATTAAACCATTTGGAGAGGAATTTTTTTAAAATCACATAGATTTAATAAATATAACTGAAAATATAATGCCATGTAAGACCATCTCTTCTTTTCTTTAATGTGATTATAGTGAAGATTTTTTAAAATACAAATTTGATCTTTCATTGGAATAAGTAGCCACCTGCCACATCTGTCTTTGTTTTGCTGAATCCCTCTGTAACCTAATTTTGCATGGACATTCACCTAGATGTCCTTTGATCTAACTGGTTTTTCTTTCATATTTATTTTATTCTTCCTGTAAAAGGATTTGTGCATTCCCTCAGATCCTAGTCTTATTTTTAAAGCCTTTTATTCCACAGATAGCTTGAAAGCAAACTTAATTACAACAGGAAAAGTCCTATGTATAAAATGTCAAAATAGAAAAATCCACTGCCTTAATTTGTATTCCAGGGTCATTTAGTCTAAGATCAGAAGTCTTCTGTGACCCAGCATTCAGTGAGACAGTTTAAAGATAACTCTAACTTCCAGTTTAAACACACAGATAAAGGTCTTTACATTATGAAGAACTAGTAAGAAGAATACACATACTAAGAGCAAATATCGATAAAAAGTGAGCACTTATTTTTTCTGATATGGTCACCAGCTCCTTACCTTGAGACTACTTAATACCAAAGCCAGAAATACTACCATATATGAAATGTTCTGAAAAGATAAATATGAAAAAAAAATGAATACCTCACAATATACCAGAAACACAATTGGGTGAAATTCTGGAATAGCACAAAAATAGCATTACTTGATTTTAAGTCCAAACAAAATTATGATTTGAGAGTTCTTTCATAAATGTCAGATAAACTTTTAGAGAAAGGCCTTGAAGCAAAGTCGATTTTGGATGTGATTGTGTAATGAAGAAACAAACAAGTGCCAGTTTTGCTAACAGGTATGTATATATGCTTAGCTTCATAGTTTCATAGCTGGTAGTGTCGGAAGGGACCTAAGCAAATCATCTAGTCTAACCCCCTGCCATGGGCTTTATAAACACAAGTAGTATCAATATGAGGGTAGTGATGATCTGTAAATTCAGACATGTTTGTAGTTTTTTTTGGTTTGGGGCCTATATTCCTAACTCTGCAAAGCATTTAAATGCATACTGCACTTAAGTATGTGAGTAGTTGCAATGATTTCAATGGGATTTCTTGCAAGCTTTGAGATTTAAGATTGTAGCCCTTTATTCAAACTAACTACAGATGAAACTTTCATGTTTAGCTTGGGAGGTAAAGATGTCCTTCATCTTTACCTCCCAAGCTAAACATGAACTGTACTGAGAATTAAATATAATGTCTTACCTGTAAATCCTAAAGGCACAGCTATACTTGAAACTTACCTGTGCTAAGTGCCAGACAGCAAATATTACTCAAACAGTGCATACACATGACAGTTGAAGTCCTTTCACCTCAAATCACTGGCCAAAATTAGTGCTTGGCATTTTGGTCGGGGTCCAATGGTGTACAGGCAGTCCTTGGACTTATGACACAATTGGTTCCTGAAAACTGCATCTTAAGTTGAAACGTTGTAACTCGAAACCAATTTTCTCATAAGAAACAATGTTATAAATGGGGGATTCGTTCCTGAACCAAGGCCCGATACCCTATTTTCAAAAAAATACCCCAGAATTTTGTACTCAATCAATTATAGATAAGTAATATAGCTACATTAATGTATTTATATCATAAATAGCAATCATATTGATTTGGAAGGACTTCTTTGAGGTGACTTTGCTAGACTTTTTAAAGGATGCTTGGTTGGACTTTTTGAAGGGTTCTTGGCTGGAGTCTTCTCATGAGTCTTGGCTGCAGGTTTTTCTGGAGTCTTGTCTGCTTTCTTAAAGAAAGTGTCCAAGGAAGCTTGGACAGATGTTCTCCAGGCAGATGGATGACATAGCGAACTTGTCCACTGGCATGGCCTTGCATTGGACCAAGCGTTGTAAAGTCAAAACTGATGTCATAAAGTTGAAACAGGGTGTCAATTTATAAGTGCTCTAAGTGCAAAACGTTGCAACTCAAAACGCTGTCAGTTGAGGACTGCCTGTATTTCTCTACTTCTGGGCTATATTTATTCACATGCTTTTCATACGGAAGGGAATTGTGGAGCTTAGTGAGGTGGTGGTGGGCCAGTGGCAAAACATAATTCCCACAACGCCACTTGTTTTATCCTCATCATCCATTTGGTGTTTGGGGCCAGACAATGCTATTTTTGAGGTTGTGTCAGTCAGCAGGAAGGGCATGTTGATAATTGCTGCGGTCCTTATAGTGATGGTAACAAATGTGCTGCTGAAACTGTACCTGAGCTAGTGCAATGTCTTCAAACCAGGATGATAAGAGCACCTGAGTAGAAGAAAGCTGAAATCAAGCTGACATTTCACCTATATCCTGAGGTAGCATCACCCAGTGGACTGTCACTTTTGAACGCAGTCTGCCAGCATTGGTGACACAGGATAATCCTGAAAGACCTGGGTTGACTAGCACTTTCCTCGAAAATAACCACAACTATATGTATAACATGCTGAGGTAGCTGTTACAACTCAAGAAAGAGACCTTGGAGGCATTGTACATAGTGCTCTAAAAACATCAGCTCAGTGTGCAATGCTGACCAAAAAGCCAGTAAAATGTTGGGCATCATTAAAAAGGGAATTTAAAACAAAACAGAGAACATGATCATGCTACAATAAAAAACCCATGGCATGCCCACTTCTTGGATACTGTGTGCAGTTAGGGTCACCACATCTCAAAACAG